CAGACTAGGAAGTTTGTGAGTTTAAGCAGAGAAAACACTCAACTTTCAATCTCTGTGCAGTTTACAGTGAGGGATTGTGCTTTACCTAGTAGATGTAATGCGGTTTGCAATTGGCGTCAGAATATACTGGGACACTTTAATGATGAATGATAAATAATTCTAAATGCTCTATCAGATTGCACAATATCTTGCAGGCTTCCTGTTCTGCACAGTGTATGTTTGATGGGCAGGTATTTGTTTATAGCCGCATTTTTTTTTTTTTTTTCACATCAATCTCTAAATGTCCTCTCCTTTCCTTTGTCTTCTGTTCAGCTTTGAGATCAGTTGCTCATCACCAGACTTCTTTAAACATCCTTATTAATGACAGCATTATTTATATTTACATTTAAGCTCCAGTTCTGGCTCTTATCTCTGTCTTGTTTTGTCTTTTCCTGATATGCTTCCCCTTCTGGTCTTGGAAGAGCTTTCCAGTCAGCCTCAGTCAGACTTTATTTCTTTTTTCTCTCTCACTTGAGGCTGACCCTCCTGTTCTGTGAATCTATAGCTTCTGCTCATGTACTTCTAATGAGAAAAATCGGGAGGGAACTGTTGTAATCAAGCCTGGCACCATGTGTAGTACACACGAGAGTACTTGACAGGATTAGCTAAAATAGATGTTTTGTTCTAAGGAGGAGTAATATATGATATAATATTTTTATTATTTTTTAATGACGTAGTGTATTTCTTGAAAAATCTTGTAATTGTTCTCTAATATGTGCTTGGGTGCCTTATTTCCAGTGTGAACCTCATCTTCTGGCCCCTAGATTATGGGAGACTTCTGTCTTACCCAGTGAGGTTGAGCAGTTTGCACATGGAGCACAAATCTATACCAAAACCACATGTAAGCGGAGATACAACTCTGTTCAGATGTGCTCTTATTTCCTCAGTTATTCTTAAACTCATTTGGAAGCTGGTTCAGAAACTGGCAGTATCTGGAATCATGTTGGTGTTTTGAAACAGTATGGTCAGTTTGTAAAGCATGTACTCTTGTGTAGATTGGGCCTTGGTTCCAGCTCAGTTGAATTAGTTTCCAGTTAATTTCCAGCAGTTGATGTATTGCTGGAAGGGGAACAGGCCACTTTGTGCAAAACAGTTGTTTTCCCCCTTAGGCTAAGGATTGGGCTCTGATCTATGGATCTGTTGTTTGGGTGTAACACAGTTGGTGTAAGTGACAAAATTTGTCTGCCTCCTAAGGCAGTGGAGGTCTTACCCTAGTAAATGTGTCACAGGCTTAACTCAGATCCCTGCAAACACCTTTGCATTGAATTTATCAGCATGATGCTGAAATCCGGTCTCTGTCTTCTAGCAGAAAACAATTTCCTCAATGGCAAAATTCGCATGATTTCTGCTTTCAAAGTAACTTCGTGTTTAGCTATGGGTTTCTTCGTGGGGATCTGGGGTCAGTTGCTCTGTGTCAGGCTTCCTGAGCCAGAATCCCAGAAGATTTTAAATCATAAAAACCATAGCACCACAGAATGGTTTGGGTTGGAAGGGACCTTAAAGCTCATCCAGTTCCAACCCCCTGCCATGGGCAGGGACATCTTCCCCCACAGCAAGGTGCACTAGAGCAGGTTGCTCCAAGCCCTGTCCAACCTGGCCTTGAACACTGCCAAGGATGGGGCAGCCATAGCTCCTCTGGGCAACCTGTGCCAGTGTCTCACCACGCTCACAGGGAAGAACTTCTTCCTAATGTCTAATCTAAACCCACCCTCTTTTGGTTTAAAGTCATTACCCCTTGTGATACAAAGCAGTGCATGGGAATGAAAATGGGTTTCATTCTTCGTATTCCGTTGTCTTGTGCTTTATGAAGTTGCAATAGCGTTGGGTCAGTACTAACTCCCAAATTTTCTGCTCTGTGGGGTGGAAAATTCGCTACTTAATTGTGTTGTGGTGCCAATAGCAGAACTTTCCCCGCCTTGTGCTAACAAAGTGGTGATGGGGATGACCCAAATAGCGCTTTCTTTGACAGGAAGGTGGCTCTTAGGTTGTTCTTCTGCTGTTTCCTGAACTAAGCATTCTGCCGATAGGCTTTTTGCTGTTCTCCTTCCTGTAGAAGATTGGCAAATCCCTCCCCTTTGAACATCTCAATGTGAAAGTGGCTTTTAAAAGAAGTGTGCTCAAGAAGTGGCAGGCTGGACTGGGAGCAGATACAATATGGGTGTGGATCAGGCCTTTAACAACAAACACTGGCTTCTTGTCTGTCTAACCCCCACCCCCTTTTCTGGGTTAAATACAACCTCAAACTTAGCTAAATATAGGATTTTTGACCGAATTTGAGCACCATATGATCTGCCTCCTCATGTTTCCTAAGCCATTTGCAGGAGAAGGGAAATGTTTGTGAACAAAGTCTGCTAACAAAGTTGTGGGTGGAAGGAGGACAAAAAGAGTACGTGAAGAACCACATATTTTCACTGGACTTATAAAACAAGTGACAGTTTGTTCTCCAGATAAAGGCACATTTGAGAGGAAAAACCTGAACAGTCAAAGTTGAGAGTTTTTTGGTGGTTTTTTCTTAGGTGTCACAAAAATTCTTGTCCAAAGTAAGAAGCATTGAGGCTTGTAAGCACGTACTTTTAAAATATGAATGTGTGACAGGCTTAATCCCAGGTGAGCCCTCATGACACACGACAGAGGATCCATTTCTCAGAACCTGAAGGTGAGATTTCAGTGAAGGGGAGCATACTCTGCCATCTGGGGTTTTACAATTTCCTTTGGTACAGCTAATCTTGTTGCCATGTAGTATGTCGAATGTATGTCAAAACAATCTGAGTTACAGTTAGGTGAAACCTTTGGTGAATTAATGAAGACCTTTATCAAACCTCACTGAAGATGAGTGTTTCTGTGTGCAGACAGGGTGAAAGAAGGCTGAGCGTTGTGAAGTATTCTTGCATAAAATGTTGAGGGGATGCTAGGCAACTTAATTTCTATATTTTTTTTCATTTTCTGTAGGTTTTTTTCTATTTTGTTAGTGCCTGCTGTGTTAAGATTGTGTTTTCTGAAAATACCTGGAACCAAGCAAAGGCTTTTTGGGAAGAGGAAGCTGGAGGTGCCATTCAGAGCAGCTGGTCTGATTGCTTGCTGCTGAGAAAAGGGGTTTCCTCCCTCATTCGCAAATGTATTCTCCCTCCTTATCCTCCTTTTTCCTTTTCATTGGATCTGAAACTCATCTGTTCACAGGTTACGCTCACAACCAACCAACCATCACTTGATGTTCCCCTTGTTTTCCCCTCAGTTTATTTTCTGGTGGATTTAGTGGATAGCTTGGTGTACAGCATGAGGACTGGTTCCAGTGGGTCAGAGAAGTTGTAAAGTGTGTGGCTCTGCAGAACAGGGCATAGTGGCTCTCCTGACTGCAGTAAGCTGTTAGATGAACTCAGCACATAGTTTCCCACAAATTAAGGGACACTATGCACCCATGTAATTGTTTCCTGTGCGGTTTGAATTGTGCAAAACAAGCCTTGCCACACGGTGTTTGTATTCAAACCTTTGTCACCTTTTTGCTTTCATGTGAGAATTCAAAAGGAGAATACTTTGTGAAGTGAAAAACCTATCTGCACTATTGTTTTGGCCTAGAAATTAAAATATAACAGTTAATAAAGGGGAAGGATTTTTTGCGTACCTCAACCTGATGGATGAAAAGGGGCAAAAAAACCCCAAACCAAAACCAATAAAACACCCAAACCCAAAAATCCTTCATTGTAATTTTTCTTTTCTCTGCTTGTTTCAAGACTTTGAGGTGGAACTTGTAATTTTCCCATTGACCAAATTCATGGGAGTAAGTTTCTCGGCTTTTACTGTCTTCAGATACATTAAAACCTTAGGAAGAATGAACTTTCCTAAACCTTTCTAAAATTTTTAACCCAGCTTTCCTGAACTAGCTGAGTTAGTATGATCTCAGTACAGTTCTTCCTCTCTAAGCTTGCTGTTCAAAGACAAAGCTGGAATTTGTGCCTGGTTTTCTCATTGTTTAAGACCACCCCAGTACCACTTACCTTGCTTTGTGCCCATAGCTGTGAAAATCGTACTAGCTGACTATCCAGTTGTCATAAACCATAGAAACCCATGTTTGAAGGGGGTAAATAGCATAGACCTGGAAAACAGGCATCCTGTACTGGAGCAAAAAAAAATATAGTTCTGGGAAGGCTGTCTTCAGCCCAGATACAAATACAAAAAATACAGTACCCAAAATATCATGAAAACAGGACCTTGCACAAGAGGCGTGTTACTAGTCATTGATTCCGTTTATTCCTGGGTGCAATTCAAAGAGGTGGCTTGTTCTATAGAGCACGGTTTGTCATGCAAGATGATGTAATTCACACCATGGTTGGGAGAGGACTAAGCATGATGTTTCAAGGGAAGGGTCTGAGCTATTCCAGTTTTGTACACAGTGATGAAGTGATTTAATGTCAAAATTCAGCCTCATTTATTCTCTATTTAATTATTTCCACTTTTTTTTTCTCTTAGGGTGGTGTCATCCCTTAACAAAATGTATTTTTCCTGGTATTTCTTTGCATATAGTTCTAGAGCTGAAAAAGTCTAATTTATCAAGCTTGTTCCCTTCAGCTTGAGTCCTGGCAGCCCCCTGCTTTTTCCATTTTTCCCCTCCTGCTTCTCCAGTACTCTACTAAAACAACTGTAGTGTTGGTATCAACTTAAAAACCTTCCAAGAGTCCTTTGTGTGTACACTTTACATTTTGGCTTGTTCAAATAACTTCAGTTACTTGTTATCACAGGGATTTTTCAGCCCACATTGAGGATCTGCACCCTCGTATGGCTCATCTGTGGCATGTGTTGTTGCCTCTGCTTTCCTGCAGCTGCAGTTCTAATCCTGATCATCATCGTGTCTCCTCCCAGTGAATTCATTGGACTTGTCTATTAAGTGATTATAAAGTACAGTTAGCTGTGAATCGGTTCTTCTAATTTAAGGTTTTTAACTTTTTTCCCCTTCCCCATACCTTTAGGCTCTGTTTTGGATATTATAAAGCACATTGTGGCCAAAGGAGAACACAAGACTGGTGTCCTGGATGAACCCTGTATAGCCACAATCCTTAAGGAGGTGCTGGAGGGGCTGGACTACCTGCATAAAAATGGACAAATCCACAGGTATTTTTCATTTTTTCTCATCTTTGTCCTGAAATGCGTGTCACTTAGTAGTTGAGCACATGCAGTCTCATCCCACAACCAGCTGAGAGAACATGGAATGAGGAAACTGAAGGTGGGGAGCTTAATCAAGACTCAGAATTCATGTGTCTATATAGTTGCTACTGCTTTAGGAAATACTATGATTAAGCCAAGTTTGGGTAAACTTTCAAGTATTGATAGTTCTGATCTAGAGAATCTCTTTCCAAATGTCAGCATCCAGCTGCAAAGTGTGGTTGTTGGACCTGGATAACTTCAACTGGTTTTGTTTCTTGCAGAGCTGCAAATCAGCAAGAACTCTGCAGAAGAAGTGTTGAGCAATTTAATATAGAGTGGTTCAAGCCCTGTTCTTTATTTTCTTTATTTTAAGGCTAGTTGCAAGGTCAGCATCATGAAATTCAAGTTTGGATAATTTCATTTTAAAAAAAGGAAACAAAATTAGTGAAAAAACTTTTCTTCTGGAAGCAAAACCCAGTTAACTAATAGCCTGTGATTTGATGGATCACTGAAATGTTTGGATTTCTGTGCTGCTGTGTTGTTTGGGAGGTATTTTCCTCTCCCCTGCTGTCAAGGTGTGGTGTAGCTCAGGAAAAGAGGATACTAAGTCAGTATTTTCTGCAGTTAAAAAGAGTGAGACTTGCAATCCTAAATATGTGCTGAAAATAGAATATACCACTTGTGGGTAATATACATCATCCCAGCCACAGCCTGCTGTTGGGAACAACAGCCTCTTCTTTCTTGGGAATTTTGTGAGCTTGGCTGTCATCTGGTACAATGCCATTATAAGCATTGCTGCTGTTGGAGTATGTTTCTGTTCTCCTATGATAGCTGCACTAGGAGAGGTGACTTTTCTTGCCAAAATGTTATTTTAATTTGAAAATCCAATAAGTATTCATTTCATATTTTTAGTCAAACTGACTGGCTTTTGTGGGTTGTTTTGGGTTAAAAAGAAGGAAATGGTTAGAAACAATTCTAGTGGATTTTTTTTTTCCCCTGAAAGAAATCTCAAATTTCAGTTTCCAGTCTCCTTTAAAATTCTCATTTAACAAGAACAGTTGTCTTCATTGAAAGCAGTTTTGATTTCACAGGTGGTTGCTTAACTTTGTTTTTTAGAGATAAGGCTTCAGGCAGCTCCAGGAATTTAGAGTAAAGTAGCAGACCGACTTACTTGCTGAATGCATGGTAATTTTTCACCCTTGCCATAACTAATTGATAAAACCATGTTCATCTGTGACTTGCAGTTGAACTGAATCAGCCAAGCAAATCATCTTCTGGTCTAATGAAATCAAAATATGTGTTTTAAAGCAGCAGTAACCTATTAAATCTCAGTTTTTCTGAAGATGTTATATAATGATTTCTTTGTTGAGAGATGGTTTTCCATTGACTTGCTGCAGGAAAACAGCAAAGCTAGTAACTGTGGTAAAGACTATAGAGGAGATATTCATGTGTGGGCTTTTGTGAGTTTATTTTTTGATTTTACATGGCATTCAGCAAAAATCCGATGTTCACGAGTTCAAACTGCTTGGTTGAAGAAAATGTGACTCATATTGAATCAGTCAGAAGCAGGCTGAACCAAACCTGCCATGACCATTCTTGTCCTGCTCATTGAAGCATTTTGCCCATATTTAGGGAACTTCAGTGGAGAAATCAGAGCTGTGTCATTGCTGCAGCTTACGGTTGCAGTTGTGTGTTGGCTCTTTTGCATGTCTTCCATCCTTGTATTTTGGGGTGCTCTGACAAGTGTGTAAAGTTTTATCAAAAAAAAAAAAAAAAGCATTTGGATTTCCTCATCATGCTGAAGCACAGTGATCTGGGAAATCTGGAGAAGTGGTAATAGTCATGATACAGAAGGAAAGTTGTGTAGTTTCCTACCTGTAATGCAAAGGAGGAAAGCAGGCTACATGTAAGCCTTTGAGGGATGAACCATGTTTCCTTAATAGAGTTAATAGTGCAGTCTTACATTTATCCAGATGTGTGTACACTGCTGAGAAAAACACAAAAGTTTTTAAAGTGCAGATGGGACCTTTCCTCATACATAGGAAGATCTGTATGGTTTTCCCATTTTGCTTAATGCTAGGGGTCATAATATTCTTCATGCCTGATGGAAAAGGCAGGTGGAAATCTTGCAGTTGTGCCAGAGATGCTCTGAGAGGAAGCGTTTAAAATAACTAAACTTTGGTCCTCTGGGTCAGCTTAAAGTATCTGGCTCAAAAGGAAATCACATCAGGTGATGGCTGAAAGGCTGAATACAGTGTCTGTTATGTGGGGCAGCTGGGGTTGGGGTGAGCTTCAGGCCAGAGCAAGGTCAGCTGCGAAGGGTCAAAATTGAAGGGCTTCAGTTAGACCTGGAACAGCCAAGCCAAAACAAGCAGCCATCCAGCAGAGCAAACTGTTCAGCTGCTTACACTAAATATCCCAGCTCCGTTTGTATTAGTTAGGAGAAAATGACTTCATAGAGTAAGACAGACAGTATGGATGACTGAGTGTAATTAGCACACCTGAACTTGGACAAGCAGGCTGGTAGCAAAGCCCAAAAGATGAATATCTGGACCCCAGTTTAACTTTGTGGCTGCTGTTAACCTGAAGTGGGAACAGCTTCTAACTGCTGTAAATCACCAGTGAGATGAGAGAACATGTGTCTGATGGTGTTGCTGCTCGATGCTTTTAAATTATGCATAATTTAAATAGGTAAATTAAGTTAACTTGAAGAAAACTGGCTTAATGAAATTCTGCTGCTGCTGGATCTAACTCTGCAGAAGCCTCCCTTGAACTTAATGCCACTTCCAATTAAGATTTGGGGAGCTGGCTTCATATGGAAGTGTAAATCCCTACTTTGGACAGGATAGTAGTTTGACAGTATTCTCTAGAGCAGATTAGAAAGCCAAATATCTAGTGAAGGCTTAAATTATATATATTTCCTTTCTAATTAACAGCCAGAGTGAGGCTGAGACTTGAATAGGTGCTCTTGTTCAGCAACGAATAGTTGAGTCTGCTGCATTGTCCAAAGTGCCATTTTTTTGTTTTCATCTTGCAAAGGCTGTTGGGAACAGTGTCTGAGACCTTACAGAAAAGACAAAGGAGAAGGCAGGATCAGATTTATTTTCGTGAAACACTCTATACCAAGGTAACAGTTACAAATGATCCCCATCTCCCTTCAAAATCACTGCTGCCTCCCGTAGCTCGGAGTTGGCAGCTCTGTGCCTTCAGTGCCACGTGCCTGTCCGTGGCCACCTCTCCTGTGCCATCTGCCACTGTCCCTGTTGTGGGTTTCTGTGTAACACAGTGATCCCAGTGACAATTTGAAATCCCAGTGATCCGGCTCATGGCAAGTGAGTTAAATACCTGGGTGCCAGCCAGTGTACTGAGGACGGAGGGCCAGGCTCAGGAACCTTCGGATGAACTGTCCTGCAGGAATCTGCTCAGACACGTTTTTAAATGGAAGTCGAGCAAGACTGACGTGTGAGGGGTCACTCCTGGGCTAATCTTGTCTGGGTGACACACAGGGTGTATGTTGCACCTTTTCCCCATTTAGACTCTGATTCCTCTGTGTATTTGGGGATTAGCAGGAGTTTGATAAATGACTTGGAAATAAGACTAAAGCTAAACCAACCCAAGAGGTTTTATTGCTTAAAAAGACTTGTTGGACGGAAGTTCAAGGCTCTCAGGTGCTGCTCCGTATGGCAGTCTGACAAATGAATCATGCTGATTAACTGTTACAAGGTCTCTCTGTCTTTCTCCCTATTTTTATCTCTAGGCTTATCTTCTGTTTGTGATTAGCTGTTGTGTAACTGAATATTTTAGTTAGCCCAGGTGGAATGATACGCTGCTCAAATATAATCAGATTCTCCTGTTGCACTGTAATAAATGTGATACTTGCATGCTTTTTTGTAAAAACAAAAAAGCTCTGGGAAGTGGTTTAGGGTTGCATGGCTTGAAATATTAGCATGCCAGTGATCCAGCTATTAATTTGTTTGCTGCTCTACTTCTAAGGGGGTGAGAGATGCAACAGCACATTTGATATGCTGAGTTAGATCAGTTTGTGCCCCATACAGAGTGTTTTGGGGTTTTTTTGGTGTCTTTTCAAAATCAGTTTTCTGCGTGTGGGGCAGCAGGGTGCCATGGCAGGTGTTTGAATGTTGCTTTGAAGAGACCTTGGAAACAATATTCTTGCTGTGGTTATATGCCAAATATATTAGCCTATATTTTTGGATCTTAGGATGGTTTTGACATAAGATCAAAGTTTAATTGTCTGCATCTTCTACCTACATTAAGAGAAAATAACTTCTAAAAAACCCATTGTCTGCCTGTGAACACATCCACATCACCGTGGCTTGCTTGTGGGGTTTTGCAGGAGCACTCCTCCAGTAGCAAGTTTCAGATTTAAGATGAAGGGGCTGATGGATGTGTTTTGGCAGAACTCGGCTGTCCTACAAGATTCAAGCTTAATTTTCATGTAGCTGATTAATGCATTGATAGCTGTGCTGGCAGGTATTGTGGCTAAACTGGATTCCAGTATGCCTCTGATCATTTTGATGACTGAAATACTGTGGGTTTTTGTTTCTGTAGCAATACTGTAGGAGAACTTCACAGCCCTCCTCTCCACAGTGCTATAATCTTGTTTCGGGTAGTGCATTTTGGAACTGAAGTCTGGCAGAGGGGGACTGAGGAATGGATAATGGGACGTGGAGCCTGTCACCTCTAATTGCCAGTTTGATTTTTAAGTCAGTAAAAGACACCAGTAATTTGAAAACTAGCTATTGCTCAGCCATGGGAAGTGGAATTTTATATTCAGAGAAGCATACTTTGGTCTCCCTTATAGTACAGGGTGTGCAGAAGCAACCTTTTGAGTAGTTGTTAATATAAATTTTAAAGCTTTAATTTGGAAACAGTTCAGTAGCCACAACAATAGAAATGTTACTATTGGGTGGCTCAGTGGGAAGGAAGAAAAGATGCTGCTCTAGATT